GTGTTGGTTCGCACGGACAACACAGCGGTGGTCTCCTACATAAATCGTCAGGGGGGTTTACGATCTCGCCGACTTTGGAAATTGACACATCGAGTTCTGGTTTGGGCCCAGGGGAAGTTGCTATCAGTTCGAGCACTGTATATTCCGGGTTACATGAACAAGACGGCAGACTCTCTGTCGAGGCAGGGAGTGGTGCCGGGGGAATGGAGACTCCACCCCGAGGTGGTGGAGCTCCTTTGGAGTCGATTCGGGCAAGCTCAGGTGGATCTGTTTGCGTCTCGAGAGACAACGCACTGTCCCCTATATTATTCCCTAACGCATCCGGCCCCTTTGGGGTTGGATGCCATGGTACAGACGTGGCCGAGGTTACGTCTGTATGCCTTTCCCCCCCTGGCATTACTACCAGGAGTTCTGGAGAGAGTTCGCCGGGACGGGGTTCGGCTCTTATTGATAGCCCCGTTCTGGCCGGGCCGAGTGTGGCTCTCAGACATTGTGTCTCTCCTCGAAGGTCCTCCATGGGAAATTCCGGTCAGGAGGGACCTTCTCTCCCAGGCGGCAGGGTCGGTGTTACACCCGCGTCCGGAGCTATGGAAACTGTGGGCCTGGCCTCTGAGGGGGATAAGCTCATAGACTCAGGTCTTTCTACTGAGGTAGTGGAGACCATGTTACACTCTAGAGCTCCTTCCACGAGGAGGCTCTATGCCCTAAAATGGAGAGTTTTTGTTGCCTGGTGTACAGGCCAGTCTGTGAATCCAGTTGACTGCCCAGTTGGTTCAGTACTAGATTTTCTTCAAGAAAAGTTTTCTTCAGGGTTGTCTCCCTCCACCTTGAAAGTATATGTGTCAGCTATATCCGTCTATCACGTTCCTATAGAGGGTGCGTCAGTGGGAAGACACCCATGGGTAACTCGCTTCCTCCGTGGTACTTTGAGGCTAAGGGCCCTTACATAGTCAACGCATCGGTACGCATACGCGTGCGCAAGGCTACACATCGCTACGCTTCGGCCACCATTATGCGTCGATGCGTAGCCAAATGTGTCATCCTAGTTTTTGATACGCGACACGCCGATGCACACAATACTATGCGTTGTCGGTGGGGGCGACATTGCAAGTAATGTACATAAAAAGGTATATTATTATGTTTACAGAAGAAGAAGATTTGAATACAATGGCGGGCGAAGAGGAAAAGTTATGCGAGCTTGTTTGTATACATCCTTTGTTGCCGCCGATGTAAAATCAGCAATATGCACTCCTCTTCAGTTGCCATTTTGATCTGAATATTACGTGACCCGACTCTAGACTCTACTACCCCCTGCTGCGCGATCGGTGTATTGCATTTCACGCATCGCCGGTGACGCTTGTGTACTATGAAAAGGAGCGCGTAGCTCGCGTCGCTCGCGTTGCTTGCTCGCGTTGCTCGTGTTGACTATGTAACGGCCCTAAGGCCTGCGGCACGCTCGAGGGTGCCGACTTGGGATTTGGCCATTGTATTGGAAGGTCTAGCCCTGGCCCCCTTTGAGCCCATTGAAGAGGTTACAGAAAAGTTTCTCACATTAAAAACTTTGTTTCTTCTTTCTATCTCTTCTCTTAAAAGAATCGGGGATTTACAAGCATTGTCAGTTGCTCCCTCGTGTCTTGAGTTTGCGCCTGGTATGGTGAAAGCGTTCCTGTTTCCGAAGGAAGGTTATGTGCCGAAGGTCCCCACTAATGTGGCGGGTCCAATAATGTTGCAGGCCTTTTCTCCGCCTCCGTTCCAAGACCAGGACCAGGAGAAATTGAACTTACTTTGCCCAGTTAGGGCTTTAGATGCAGATGTCCACAGAGCTGCCCTGTGGCGCAAATCTGATCAACTGTTTGTGTGTTTTGGGTCTCCGAGTAAAGGGAAGTCCGCATCCAAGCAGACTTTGAGTAAGTGAATAGTTGAGGCTATATCACTTGCATATGAGTCGGCCGGTCATCCATCACCACTAAAGATCCGAGCCCACTCAACTAGGAGTATGGCTGCTTCTATGGCCCTATTGTCAGGGGTTTCACTTCAGGAGGTATGTGATGCAGCAGGGTGGTCCTCTCCGCACACCTTTGTCAAATTTTATAACCTCGATGTGGCTTCTACTCCGGGTTCTCGGGTGTTTCTAGTATAATGTGCATGACGATTTCACATATACAGGCACTTGAGGATTATGGCGACGTGGGTATTCAGTTCCCGCAGCGCTATACGCAGCGTTGAGTTCCCTTGAAAGGGAACGTCTCAGGTTACGTATGTAACCATGGTTCCCTGAGAGGGAACGAGACGCTGCGTCGCTTTGCCATACTCCCAGCATGCCTGTGACCAACTTGTTCGACCTATCAGAAGCTAGTGTTTGTTCGGTCCAGGGGTGCTTTATAGGTTCCTGGTCAATGACGTGACCCGCCTAGGACGTCCCGTCACGCCATTGGACTGATTTCACGAGTGCTTCATGACGCAATCACGCAGGGGCGTTCCCGCAGCGCGATACGCAGCGTCTCGTTCCCTCTCAGGGAACCATGGTTACATACGTAACCTGAGACGGTTTTAATGGTGCATGTACTTTTTAAATAACCATAACTTGCTCAATTTTCTACCGATTTTCCAACGGTTTGGTTTGTTATAAACGTCAGAGATGTAGTTATGACACTGCACACTTATGAATAATAAGTGTATCAATAAATAATCATCCAGAATTATAGCCACATTAATAACGTTTGTAAGAAACCAAACCGTTTGTAAATCCGTCAAGATTTCAACGAGATAAGAGTATTTGTGTTCGTGCTGATCACTCATCTTACATCAGGCACCACAGAGCCCGCCAGAAAGCTTGCCTGTGACAAGATGGCCGCCGGTGATGACGATAGAGACTCCCCCGTAAGACATCTATCCTTTATTATGGATATCTATGCCGGTTGCCGCCGAACTGCGTCATAGCTCAACTCAACTTTCCTCGCCACTCTCACCGTCCAAGATGCGCCGCGCCACCCTCCAAGTCATGAAAATGAATGACTTCCGGCCACTTGATGCTCTCACCGGCAGCGGTGTGTGAACGCACAGTAAGGTTGTGTCCACTAAAGCATTTTTTCCAACGGCCAGCATATTTTTTCAATTATTTTCAATGGGAATTCCTCGTATGCCTTCGTTTGGCATTTAAAAAAAAAAAATCTCAAAAAATGTTCAATTTGTGTAAAACGCAGTGTTCATCACTGTCACTTTTTACCCAGCCATCCAATTACAGTGGAGGAGGGGCTGGACCATAGACTGTAAAAAAAGATGGACGACGCCCCTTCGCTCTTTTCCATTGGAGAGAACTGAAGCCGCCAGTGTCCCGATATGGCGCTGACATATTGGAATTTGAGTTTGCACAGTAGCATTTTTGGGACCAGTCATGCGCAGTCGTGAGCAGGAAGTAAAGCCGCGAAATCAAGGCCCCGCCCCCACTCTCGCTGAATCAATCGCAAGCACACGCCCTACACTTTTCTTAAGTGGCCTTTGTCTACTCCGTTCCTCTCCAATGATGTCTGCTGATTGCAGTACCTCATTAAAATAAGGTAAATACAACTACTAACCACATAGTCAACATTATGAAAAAAAGTCCGTTGGTGCTTCAGTGACTACTTCACACAGAGAACCTGTCAATCACAGCTGTCAATCATGATGTCACAGCACCGTTTTTATAGCATCAAATAACTAACTAAAAACAAACTTATTTTAAAAACAAACACTTGAAATTACATCAACGTGATAGAAACTACAGTAAATGACAGAAAATATCTTTAGAAAAAAGATATGTGAAGTGTAATTTAATTGTTTAGTTGGTCTCACGTCTCGTTGAATAACACGGGGATGCGGGGTTTATGACCTATACTAGGAACGGTCACTGGGGGGCGATCGAGACGTTTTGGCTTCACTTTTGAGGGCTTGTGCGGCACGCTTGGGCTGGACAAATACCACACCAACCAACCGCTACATCCTGCTTATACAACGGCAACAGACGACAACAACAGCAATAGAACAAAATACTAGTATTACATTGTATTTTTTACATTGTATTGGCATTTTTACATTCAGAAACAAAATCTGCGAAAATCACATACTAGCAACAATTCCGTGGATATTCTGTATCATAGGAACCAAAGCATCTCAACTAAAAAAAATGCTGTCCCGCCAAAGCGTTCAGGAGTGCCCGCAGCAAGGCATTTTCAGAAGATTGTCTGGAGTTTTCCGCTGAATAAAAATGCTTCCGTAGACACACAGCCTAAAGGCCCGTTCACACCAAGTACGATAACTATAAAGAAAACGATATGCTCCAGAAGGAAACATGATGCATTAAGAACAGGGGGATGAAAACTTTTGAACAGGATGAAGATATACATTTTTTTTATTTAGTAATGCCCTTCGGAAGCAACAGAAGATACTTGCATGTTTCCCGGAAGACAAATTAGTACAATTTACCTTGATCTTCAAATTCAAAAAGTTTTCACCCCCCGGCTCTTAATGTACCGTGTTTCCTTCTGGAGCATCCGTGAATGTTTGAACCTTTTTGAATAGTTATGTATGAATCCCTCGGTTGTCCTTAGTGTGAAAAGATGGATCTCAAAATCATACAGTCACTGCTGGAAAGGATTCAAATAGACAATCCTTTCCAGCAGTGAAAGAACAAGAACAACCATCACAAAACAAAACAAAATACAGTTGTGGATCATCCAGATAACGACGCGTCACGCACAATTAACGGTACATAAACTTTTGAACGGGTCATTTTTATAAATTCAAGACTTGTTTTGTCTTGTGAACATCTTTTATGTAAAATATCTTATTCTGGACAGTTCTGAATAAAAGATCCCTCTTATGATCCCTCTTATTTTGTTGAAATTATTCTCTTTTTTCACAGATTCTGTAAGGGATTCACAAACTTTCAAGCACCACTGTATGCTCTTTATGTAGATTTGAGAAAACATGAAAGCATTGAAGCACATAATGTAAAATCTTACCTGTTTTGCTGAATTATTGTTTTGATCTCTGATGGCCGTAGTGTCTTGAGCTTTAGCAGTAAGAATCACACTAATACACAAACACATCCACAGCATGACTTTCACTGCAGACATGGTGAAGCCTGGTCCGAACTGACCTCAACTCTGCCTGTAAATGTTCTTAAACGAGAGTGAGAAAGAGAGAGAGACAGATGAATGAGTGCCTGTGTGTGTTGTACAGGGACTGTAAGAGTTGCCAAAGGGGTGTGTGAATGTGCCCAATAATCTAGTACATTCTCCACTGCCTGCTCACTCCATCCACCCAAAACAGCAGAGTTCACTAATGACCAATGATAGCCAACTACATTATTTTCTATATCGCCATTTAAATATTACCCAATCAATAACGTTCACAACTTTTTGCAACATCCACATCTGTCTGTATCCTATCTTTCTATCTGTATACAGTATACAGTACCGGTCAAAAGTTTGGAAACATTACTATTTGAATGTTTTTAAATGAAGTCTCTTATGCTCATCCATTCATAGTGGATAGTGTATAGTCAGCAGATTGTTATGCAAAAGAAACCTCTTTAGGGTGATTCAAGACCCCACTGCGAAATTATTGCACTTATTATGCGGCTACTTGCCACATCAGTAAATGATTAAACACAAAATATTAATTTGACATATTTTATTACTTCAAGATGTCTCACAGTACCTGCTTGAGCGGCTGTAACTGCTGTGGTCGTGCAATAACAGACCGCTAGATGGCAAAACAAAAAAAATCTTAATTAAGTATTAATTAAAAGTGTTAAGTAAAAATAAATAAACGTACAGTAAATGTCCACTAAGCATGGACAAATTTCTGAAAGGACTGCCAATGCCCGGTAAACGTAAGCCAGACGAATCTACTTTAAAAGTTACAACTACCAAAACTACTGTACCTTTTTTTTTCTGCAAAACAAATGCTGTCAGAAAAAGTTTGGGAACAACTCCATTGCTCCGTGGTCCAGTTCTGACATTCACATGTCCATTATAGGTGCTTTCTGCAGTGAACAGGGGTCATCATGGACACTACGCAGCCTCATTCAGAGCAAACTACGATGTACTGTGTGTTCTGACACCTTTCTATTATGGGCATATTAGGGCAACATTACGTTTTTCAGCAGTTTGAGCTAGCTTTTCTGTGTGATCTCCACACAAGCATCAGTGAGCCTTGGGTGTCCATGACCATGACCCTGACCCTGGTTCACCGGTTGTCCTTCCTTGCACCCCTTTTGGTAGGTACTAACCACTGCATACCAGGGACACCCCACGAGACTTGTGATTTGGATATGTTTAAAGTTTTGTTCAAAGTTTTATTTCCCATTTGTATAGCACAAAGAAAATTGTACACATACATAGGAATTGTACTGCATCACCCTTAGAGTCAAAAAACAAAACAAAACAAAGTGCACCAGTGCTTGCTAACCGTTTGTCTATCCGTCTGTCCGTCTATCCCTCTGTCTGTCTATCCGTCTATCAGTCTATTCGTCTATCCGTCTGTCTGTCTATCCATCTGTCCGTCTATCCGTCTGTCCGTCTATCCCTCTGTCCGTCTATCCGTCTATCAGTCTATTCGTCTATCCGTCTGTCTGTCTATCCATCTGTCCGTCTATCCCTCTGTCTGTCTATCCCTCTGTCCGTATATCCCTCTGTCCGCCTATCCGTCTGTCCGTCTATCCGTCTATTCGTCTATCCGTCTATCCGTCTGTCTGTCTATCCATCTGTTCGTCTATCCCTCTGTCTGTCTATCCCTCTGTCCGTCTATCCCTCTGTCCGTCTATCCCTCTGTCCGTCTATCCCTCTGTCCGTCTATCCCTCTGTCCGTCGGTCCGTCTATCCGTCTGTTCGTCTATCCGTCTGTCCGTCTATCCGTCTGTCCGTCTATTCGTCTATCCGTCTATCCGTCTGTCCGTCTATCCCTCTGTCCGTCTATCCCTTTGTCCGTATATCCGTCTGTCTGTCTATCCCTCTGTCTGTCTATCCCTCTGTCTGTCTATCCCTCTGTCCGTCTATCCGTCGGTCCGTCTGTTCATCTGTCCGTCTATCTGTCTATCCCTCTGTCCGTCTATCCCTCTGTCCGTCTATCCCTCTGTCCGTCTATCCATCTGTCCGTCTATCCCTCTGTCCGTCTATCCCTCTGTCTGTCTATCCCTCTGTCTGTCTATCCCTCGGTCCATCTATCCGTCTGTTCGTCTGTCCGTCTATCTGTCTATCCCTCTGTCCGTCTATCCCTCTGTCCGTCTATCCCTCTGTCGGTCTATCCGTCTATCCCTCTGTCTGTCTATCCCTCTGTCTGTCTATCCCTCTGTCTGTCTATCCCTCTGTCCGTCTATCCGTCTGTTCGTCTGTCCGTCTATCCCTCTGTCCGTCTATCCCTCTGTCTTTCTATCCCTCTGTCCGTCTGTTCGTCTGTCCTTCTATCTGTCTGTCCCTCTGTCGGTCTATCTGTCTATCCCTCTGTCCGTCTATCCCTCTGTCTGTCTATCCCTCTGTCCGTCTATCCGTCGGTCCGTCTATCCGTCTGTTCGTCTGTCCGTCTATCCCTCTGTCCGTCTATCCGTCGGTCCGTCTATCCGTCTGTTCGTCTGTCCGTCTATCCCTCTGTCCGTCTATCCCTCTGTCCGTCTATCCCTCTGTCTGTCTATCCCTCTGTCTGTCTATCCCTCTGTCCATCTGTTCGTCTGTCCTTCTATCTGTCTGTCCCTCTGTCCGTCTATCCATCTGTCCGTCTATCCGTCTGTCCGTCTATCCCTCTGTCCGTCTATCCGTCGGTCGTCTATCCGTCTGTTCGTCTGTCCGTCTATCCCTCTGTCCGTCTATCCCTCTGTCTGTCTATCCCTCTGTCTGTCTATCCCTCTGTCTGTCTATCCCTCTGTCTGTCTATCCCTCTGTCCGTCTATCCGTCGGTCCGTCTATCCGTCTGTTCGTCTGTCCGTCTATCCCTCTGTCCGTCTATCCCTCTGTCTGTCTATCCCTCTGTCCATCTATTCCTCTGTCCGTCTATCCCTCTGTCTGTCTATCCCTCTGTCCGTCTATCCGTCTGTTCGTCTGTCCGTCTATCCCTCTGTCCGTCTATCCCTCTGTCCGTCTATCCCTCTGTCTGTCTATCCCTCTGTCTGTCTATCCCTCTGTCCATCTGTTTGTCTGTCCTTCTATCTGTCTGTCCCTCTGTCCGTCTATCCATCTGTCCGTCTATCCGTCTGTCCGTCTATCCGTCTGTCCGTCTGTCCCTCTGTCCGTCTATCCATTTATCCGTCTGTCCGTCTACCAGTCTGTCCATCTATCCGTCTGTCCGTTTATCCATCTGTCCGTCTATCCGTCTGTCCTTCTATCCGTCTGTCCGTTTATCCCTCTGTCCGTCTATCCCTCTGTCCGTCTATCCCTCTGTCTGTCTATCCCTCTGTCTGTCTATCCCTCTGTCCATCTGTTTGTCTGTCCTTCTATCTGTCTGTCCCTCTGTCCGTCTATCCATCTGTCCGTCTATCCGTCTGTCCGTCTATCCGTCTGTCCGTCTGTCCCTCTGTCCGTCTATCCATTTATCCGTCTGTCCGTCTACCAGTCTGTCCATCTATCCGTCTGTCCGTTTATCCATCTGTCCGTCTATCCGTCTGTCCTTCTATCCGTCTGTCCGTTTATCCATCTGTCCGTCTATCCGTCTGTCTGTCTATCCTTCTGTCCATCTGTTCGTCTGTCCTTCTGTCCGTCTATCCATCTGTCCGTCTATCCGTCTGTCCGTCTATCCGTCTGTCCGTCTGTCCGTCTGTCCCTCTGTCCGTCTATCCGTTTATCCGTCTGTCCGTCTACCAGTCTGTCCATCTATCCGTCTGTCCGTTTATCCATCTGTCCGTCTATCCGTCTGTCCTTCTATCCGTCTGTCCCTCTGTCCGTCTATCCGTCTGTCCGTCTACCAGTCTGTCCATCTATCCGTCTGTCCGTCTATCCCTCTGGCAGCTGTCCGTCTATCCGTCTATCCGTCTGTCCGTCTGTCCCTCTGTCCGTCTATCCGTTTATCCGTCTGTCCGTCTACCAGTCTGTCCATCTATCCGTCTGTCCGTCTATCCCTCTGTCCGTGTCCTGTCTGTCTAAGAGCTATTGTTGGTGTTTGCTAACACAAATATAAAAACTTTTTTTTTTTTACATTTATAATAATAATCATTTTATTATTATTATTAAATATTTAACCCTAACTTTTGAACTTTGCATTTAAGTGAAAATGTAAAATAAAAATGCTTTTAATGTATAAGAAATGTGTGTATATATATGAAATAAATTATCCTTGAAACACAGAAGCTTTTGAGTACATTCAGTACAGATGTTTTTTGTGGTGTGACGAGGAACTCTTTAGACCCTCAGTTTGCTTGAATAACTCACACAGAACCTCTCATTTATCAGAAGTGCCTTTTACAAACTGCTTTTATACAGTGTGTTCAGAGAGAGAGAGTTAATTTACCGTAAGTTGTGTGGAACAGCGGCCAAATGTCTAGTAATCAGAGAGAGAAATAGAGAGAGTGATCAAGTGTGTCAATGCGTCTGTTCATGGTTTTCGGGACTTCAATATGTCTGCTCATTGCTAGGGTGTGAGTGTTTGTGTGTGTTTTGCTTTTCTCTCCACTCCCTGTTTAACAAGGCTGAAGTCAGATATGATGTCATTTCTCCAAAGGTAAACATTAAGTCAGCTCTTCAGAAACACACCTCAAGGGTGGCTGCAAACGTGCCGTCAACTGTGCGTCAAAAATATCTGCATGGGATCTATCTACCTCTAGTTCTCCTCTTTTTTTCTTTTTCTTTTCTTTTTTGCTGTATATAGGCAACATCATATAGGCTAGGGGTTTTAAAACCCACAGGGGCCACAAGGGGTTGCTAGAGACTACTAAACAACTGAAAGGAAAAATAAATTGAATATATAACACCGTTGAAGTTAAGATGTGTACTAATAATATTATACTGAAAATAATATACAATTATAATATAATACTGTTATAATATTTATTACTGCTATTTGATAATATTGCAATTCAATTATGTTTTCTAAATATTAAATAATGAAGTTCTGAGATTCATTGGGATTATTCTATTGACCACTAGTTTTTAACAGTAAGTAAACAATCTGTATGTAGTGTCAATTTACAAC